ATCTACTGCTATACATATCATTGCAAAAGGCTACGGTTACCAAGTATCCTTCCGTTGTCAGGGAGCTGGGCTTGGAAATATTTTCGATAACTTGATTGGAGTCTTGCAAGAAATTGTAATAATTTTCGTATAAGACTTTGTTAGCGTCTTCTTTCAAACGATGCAAAGGGATTCTTAACTATATACACACCTTCTGATTCAGTAAACTGCTTTACTAAGGGAAATTCGCAGGTTTTGTAAAGTTGGAGGAGCGATCACAAAGCTTTTTATACCCACCTCTTGTTGGGGCAGGACACTACTTTTCATATTTACTTGGACAGGTCAATCATCGCGAGGACGAGTGATACATTTAAAGGCACCGTCCACCCAAATTGGGGTTGGTGAGATTATGATACCTAGCAGATGCGGGGCCCCCAACTGTATGATTGCCCAACTCGCACTGCCTGAAGTTGCTTCCGAACCGAAAAAATTGCTTCGAAAATCGTTTCAGGCCGCGTTCGCGACGCTGGCTCCTCCCCTTTTGAAGTGGGCGTGACGTTCGTCCCGCCCATCCGTGCGCGCCCAACCAATCACCGTACCGAAGAAATCGCTCTGCGGGTTCTGAAAATGGGGTTTTTCGTGGTTTTCGTGGATTTTCAACTTTATATTCGGAATCAGGGGTATGAGAAGGCCCTGAAACAGCAAAAACACGGAGGCCGAAACTTTGGGCGGACGGTGCCTTCAAGCGTTATTGGGTGGATACCACAAAATGTGGTGCATTATCATGAGTTTTCAAAAGATTTTGAAATTTGTATGCGTTTTTGTAAAATCCAAGCATCCTTGAATGCGCAGTAAGTAACTACAAATTAAAGAGAATAAAGTGAACATGAAATTGCATATTTGGGTGTCTCGCAAAATCGCCATTTGTTGCTTGTTTGTAGGGGTTGTAATGATTCTTGAACCTTTGAGACCTGGCACATTTTAACACATTGACGACCATGCAGATTTTTAGTTGTCTGCCTTCTGGGACCAAGGCCTTTTACAGGCCAGCCCATATTTTTCAACTATAATTACGCATGCTTCCATCTACAGCACACACTTACTTTAAATCTGAAAGACCGATAAAAAAGGTAGAGGTCATCTATGGAAAACTACCTGTGTTTCGCAATCTCTGAGCCTTTCCTCTTTCAAGACACCTATATACACCACAAAGACAAAACAAATATTTAGTCTATATTGATCTGAAAGAAAGGTCATAATTTCGCTTTGGGATTGAAAAGGTGTTTGCTTGGCTAACTAATAAAGTTTTCGACAGTTCCAGATTGCAAAGTTGACAAAAACCTATGTAGCTTCTAAACAACTAATCATTACATTGTTCTAGTTTATCTATCCCAATTATGCTTCTACATAAACAAAATTTTCATTTCTATGACTAGCGACCTTTTCCAGCCAAAAATGCTCTTCATCGAGTTCTCAGTGATTTTTATGTGTTAAGATAACACTGGTCGCGATTCACTTCCCGTTCTCATCATTCTCGTTTTGGAGATAACCTAAGCATTTTTTACTGCCTTAGCTATCCGCAGCATTTTTTGCAAATTTACATTCTCTGAAAATGCTGATGAGGTTACCGTTTGTCTGTTGGGTCGTACTTCTCTCAATCGTCAATGCCACACAAGTAGTTCAAACTACACGAGCGAATGGAAGTCGCCTTGACATTATTGGTTAGTTTCATGATCTATTCGTGATCTACAAGCTGGTGCAAAATGATATTTTCAGAATGGATTTGCCCAGACTCGCAGCTTTTCGAGACTGTTCAAAATGCATTGCAACAATACGAAACCGTAGACACGATTATGAATGACATAAGGCAGAATATAATAGGGTAAGGATCTATCGTAACGGTAAAGTTCATTTTAACGAAGCCCTACGGAAATTATCAGCTCTTTTTTAGCTACCGTAATCTCTTATGGTCAGTGAATGCAGTGCTTTATACACGAGCGACAGCAGATCTAATGCCAACGAAACGAACCACAAGTCGAAATCTTTGCTTTGTTTCAGTTACGCAAGATAATCTCATTGTTTTTGTTGCAGCAGTGGTACAATAATATTATAATAAATTATTATTTACTTAGCCCTACTATAAGAGTATTTACTTAGCCCTACTATAAGCTTTGATATCTGCAAATCGCAGATAACCTTATTGTTCTTAACTTCGATCATCGTTTTCAAGTAATCCTTTTAGCATAAGCTTCCTCCGCTTAATTTTTCGCGACCGAAAGAATAGCAAAACACAAAGAACACAAAACCCGAAGCCAGAACTTCTTGTACAGAAAAAAGCGTTTCCTCTCTTATCATAAAATTCTCAAAAGAGCATCAATCGCTGATTTGAGCGTTATGCTTATCAGCAAATTTGCGAGCTTACTCGCTATTCTGCGTTTCAGATACTTGCAGTCAGCTTCACAGATAATTAGCTAAACCTCAGACACTGCCCAATCCAGTTCTGTAGAGAAGGAGAGAAGCAGGGATAGTTTTAAAAGTAATAGTAAAAGTAGAAAAGTGATGACAAAAGTAGTAAAAGCTAAGCACATACTAGATTAAATTCTTATACCCAGAACTATCAAGGCTGCAAAAACAAAAGATATGGGCAATTTGGTCTCTAAAGGATTTGAAGAGAAAAGTGTATGAAGGGAGGGGAGATAGAGTGTGAGTATTTTACAGTTTCATCGTGTCTTAGGCCTAAGGCATACCTCGCGCGATTCGGCCGAATCGCGACGTTCACGCGACCTGGCAGTTTGCCAGATGTCTCCAAATTTATCGTGCGCGGTCCTTCGATACATAGGTGCGTAGCTTGTGTAATTTGTTGCAAACCGACCAAGTCTTGCCTTAATGCAGCGCTCTGAGGGCCAATTATGGGCAGCCGTTCCGTTACCAAATCGCGCATCGACTGGAATCGCGTGAGGTATGCCTTAGGCCTTACATGTTTTATCGCGCCTAACGTGTAGAACTATAGTCTTGACTTGTAAAACGATTGACACAGGTCAGAACATGTTTCCACGTCATTCAGCAACTGCAGTTTTCCTTGATATGGTTCAATTATTTTACATCAATACCTCATCACATCTATAGCCTTCAAAAAAGACGATAAGGTAAGTTGACATTGTTCGTTGAAAAAAGCTCAAATGCTTTTTTATGGAAGAAAATTTCATTGGCCTTACTCAGCTTTTTGATCCGAAAGTGTTAATCTTGGATGAGTGTGGATAAAGATAGGTCATGAACAAATCAAAATTGTAAAGAAATTTTGTGATCATGTAGTTGTCAGTATATCGAATGTAAGCAATACAAATGCTTTGCCACCTTTTATCAGGGTGGGACAATTCTCGTATCCACTTTGAATCAAGTTCTGGCAAAAATAATCATAGCTTCTTGATTTCTGAACGGATTTGCATGCATTTGATTTTATCTGGAAGGAGAAATCCTGCGCTTTATGATGCATGTAGCATGCTTGCTAATAAGCACACATTGAGAGATGAAGTAGCTAAAAATCACTCAAGTTTTGATTCGTCTGTGCTCCTGCGTTGATTTGCATAAAAAATTCAAAATTTGCCAACTAAAAGAGCATTTCTGCAAAAACCTACGCTTTTCGAAAGAGGTACAAAGACCCAAATCTGATTTTTGTTCCAAATTTTGTAACTTTTATAATGACATCTAGTCGGTATACACATTGCTTTATTAGAAGAAGCAGCTCAAGAAACCTTTAATTCTACTGGTTCACCACAAGTGCTACATTTTTTACGGCCAAACGAAGAAAAAGATTCAAGTGATTTTCTTCTACCGCTTCTATCCAAACAATGTGTGCCTACTGGGAAGCAAGCAATGATCGGCTCCCAGATTCGTGTGGAGGTGGAGGTGTATTGCAGACTTTGCCTGATAACAAGGATAAACTTGTTAAACCTCCAGTTATAGCATTGCTTTTCGTACTCTCTTGCTAGCAGAAACCGCCACGCTGTGAGTTGGCAAGACTTCACCTCCACACGAATCTGGAAGCCGATGATACATGCATTTGTAAAGCGCATGACTTAGTTTTCTGAATAAATTCAAATGTATGGAACTCCTTGGGAAATAAAATCACGGTTTTTCAAGAAAAAAAACTAAACCAGAACTTTTGTTCAAAAATAATACAACGAAAAATGCAAACCTCATATTTCGTTAAAGAATTGATACCTACAGAAAACTCATTTTCCAACTTTTCTAGTGGCTAAGTTAGTTATATGATACCAAACTAAATTCCCTCTTATGTGTATGGGGGTGTTTTTTTGAACGTGAGGCACAAGGTGCCATCCAATTGCTGAAATGCGCTTTGTGAAATTGAAGCCTCTCTACCAATATTTGCCTATTGGAACCCTCTAATTCTGGCAAACATAATGTCTATCGCCTTGTGCACTTACATTTTGTGGCTTACGATATTATAAATCCAGCCACTGCAGGAAGACCGTTATTCGGCTAGAGTATCCAGCACTTGTAAAAAGAGTCTCTGCTCGGCTCGAAAACCAAAAGTTCTTAAAGGCAGCGTCTACTAAAATCTGCTCACACCAGATCACTACTTATCCTACTAGCAGGCCCTGAAAGTAGATTAACCGCGTCGGTCCGGTCCGCAAATGTTGCCTACAAAAGGAGATAACGGACCGGACTCTCTTCGCGCTCCGCCCCTTTTTTGCGCTGCTCCCACCCACGGATTGACCAAGACGTGTTCTGAGATGACAAGCAACGTCGAGACGTATAGTTTGTAATGTGGCGCTGTTGCACACGACGGGGTTTTTTCCTGTAGCATACGACATGACTAGCGCCGGGGCGCTCGTTCGCGTCTGCCAAATTAGGGTTTCAGAAAAGGGTATTTTTGAAGGTTTCTGGTGATTTGAACCTCCTATCCTAAATCAGGGCCATGGAATGGCCCGATAACAATAAAAACATGGAAGACGAAACTTTGGATGTACACTGCCTTTAAACATTCAGCAATGTCCGACAGCGATGTTCCAAAGGCATATTCTCGAGCTGACAGTAGCAGTTCTTCCTCTTCAAGTTCATCACAAGAAAAAGTTCGCCATGTTTCGCGGAGGCGTCGGTAACAAACTTCTTACATAGGAAAAAATATTTGAAAAAATATGCATTTATAGGAGACGACGTCATCGAACTCCCACATCGTCATCATCGTCATCATCATCTACTTCAGACAGCATGTAAGCTCTAATCGCGATATTTCTTGAAAAGCAATCATTTTTTGAAGAAAACAGAGGCGTTTTCGCAAACGTCGACGACGGTCATCTACCTCATCAAGTGGGAGCAGCTCGTCTTCCCGGCCAATGTGGCCAAAAAAGAAAAATAACAGTACACCTTCTCCATTATCATCATCAACGTCATCATCATCTGATGAGTCAAGCCACCGCAATCGTAGTTGGCGTAAATGTGCAACAAAACGGAATAACATATGGGTGCGTAAACGACAAATAAAGGTTAGACATGGACAAGCTGACAGGTGGGATCCGTTTGAGTTGTGGCTGGTGACAGTCAAAATAGGGGACTAGACATTCTGCGAAAATTTTCCAAAATATTCAGAAAAGTACCGTAAATTACGGTAATAGCTCAACGTTACCCTCTACAACTATGATTAACACTAGTAACATGGGTAACACGGTAGCACTGGTAACATTTGTAACACGGGCAATACGGGTAACACTAGTAATGAATGGTCAAAGCCTTACGTTTAAGTTTGAAATTCACAGAGACGTTGACAGTACATTTTCTTGCGTAGTATCTGAATGGCGGTGTCTGCTAGTATATTCTCTACCCATCTGAAGTGCTCCTGCGCTTTGTGATTCATTCATCTAAACCTTCCTGTATGAAATTTCACTGTCGCCAAAAGGTTTGAAGGCAGCGTCCAGGCAAGATCCATCCACCCAGATTATTACATAGTTGTAAAGAGGGACCCATGAGTATCCGATCTGCGTTGGTCTAATCCTTTGACGTGCCCTCTAAAAGGAGATACGGGCCTGTGATACGTATCACAAGCCGCCCCTTCGTATCACAAACCACCCCTAAGGACGAGTGCTTACGCAGGGTGCGGTTGTATTGTAGTTGCATTGCAGTTGCACTGCTCACTGCAATGCAACTGCATCCGTGCAATTGCAGCTCCTCCCGCTGGCATGACGATGGGAACGAGCAATTCGAAACTCGTCCACCTTTTGAAGAGAGGGTTCCCCCAGAACTGGGTTTTTTGGGGGTTTTGAATTTCGACTTTACAGCTGTAATCAGGGCCACGGAAAGGCCCCAGAATGGCAGAAACATGAGAGGCGAAATTTTGCCCAGACGCTGCTTCAAGAGAAATGCAATTCTTGATGGTTTTGTCATAGCTTTGGGATATCAATGCCAATGAATGCAAATCGAACTGCAAAGACTAGTATTTTGAACTGAATATGCTGGAAACAAGGAATGAGAATTCCAAGCGTTGATCATTTGTTGCAGCCGACCTTCTTCAAGGTATAACCATTCAATAAATGAAGTTTTATAGAAGTGAACAATTTTATGAACCAAGGCCTGTGTCTAGTGGATGGACTCGGCAAACTTTCGTTTGCGAATGCGGCGAAAAGTATGGATCGCAAAAGGTTGGTAAATTCACAACTCTCGATGGGTTACCATCTTATTGAATACGCAAATTTCTGTCTCGATTTTGACCTACCTTTGCTTTTTTTAATAAGTCATTTACGCGACCGATTTGTCAATAAATAACAGTCGTACTCGCAAATAAATGGGAAAATTCTAAGCGGTAAACATAAGCTGAACCTTCATTTTGAAAGAAACAATAGTTTCGCAACTACCACTTGAACTGGCGATTGATTCCACAGTTTTTCTTCTGAAGAAAGTTCTCATAGGCGCTAGCCCATCATATCTTACAAAATCACGATGCAGAGATACCATGCTTCGGCTGCAATGAGGTAATCTAAGCCATCTTTTTTTCGAATAACAATAAATCTGTTCTTTCAGACATTATCTTCATTGACCAAAATGCTGGAACATTTTCGGACAAAGCATACAAAGAGTCTCATCGCTTGCGTTTACTGCAAGGTACATTACCCGTTCGAGAGTTTAGTAATAGCATGAAATCTACTTTTAGTCTGTATTTGGCAAACCAAACGATATGACGGAAAATCAGTGGAAACGGTTGAAAACGCATATGTATGGGGTAAGCGATAGTCCGTTTGCTTTTCCGCACGTATGCATCCTCGAGTTGTTCGTAAGTTGATATGCATTTTGCACAGCATGCGCCCAAATTGACGACTTGCAAGGTAGAATCTGCTCAGTTCCAATGATTGCTCCTTGTTTCCTTGTCTCTTCCAATTTAATTGGATATGTAATATGAGTAGTTCACAATTCTAAAGTCTGTTACGCTAGAAAAGGTTTTACTGAACTATTACTTGGAGTGTCGTCGATTGTCGCGTGGAGTGTGCAGGCTCACATGTTAAGTTACAAATTACTCGAGGAGAAATTATTGGTTTGGTACACATTACAGTACCCACACTAATTATTCGACAGAAAACGCAAAAACTGACGATCCGCGTTTTTTTTCGTTTTTTCTTCATAACTTCCTTCAAATTGCATAAAATACAAATCCGAAGAAAGCCTGATGCTCAGCTCGTCAAGATGAATCTTCCTATATATTGCACTCTCGTACCATTCTGTTTTCAATCTGCTCGATTTTTGTCTGAGGACGGGTATTCGTAGTGGTGTAACTCAGCGAAGAACACACATGGACGATTCAAATAAACATGAGTCAGTAGTGCTGTCCCCGTAGATTATCACGTATTAGTGAATAGCGAAGGATTCCCTTTCCATAGGGAAAGATAGGCCGTTTAATTTGAACAAATCGATGTCCTCTCAAATTTTCGCTACCGTAACCCTACAGTAGGACGCTAATTTGCAAATCAGGTGTGTTTTTCGTGATCAGCAGGTTAGATAACCTCTATGCGCAAGTTTTCCAAGGAATTCAGAACCTTTTATTTTTTCTCGTTCTAAGCTGTGAAGCTCGCCGACGGGTTTTGGCTAAAATATTGATGATCTTGGATTGACCGGAAACTTTGCCCATAGAGGTTTTCGGACTCGCTGATTACAGAAATAGTGCCCTCTGTGCAGCATAAGTTCTTTTGGCAGAGTTATGCTGAGAGGAATGCTGCGATACTACGCAAGTTCCTAAGTTTGTCTGCCCTTTGCGCGTGTCTGTTGGACAACTTACCTGCTCCTTTTTGTAATTTGAAATCACTAGAGGCAGTGCTCTTAGAGCATGCTTAAACTAGGCCTTTACCTATATTGGTCGCCGAACTGTGAGCTGACGAACTCACGTCCGCATGAAAATCGTTCGAAATATTAAGATCGCACATTTTGGCCAAATATCGCCGCGAATGGTGACAGATGACTCTGATTGCAGATGCTATGTTTATATATACACATGTTAATTGCTAATTTATGCCGCATACTGCTGCTTACCCCTTGTGCCAACTCTTACACCTGTAACTCAAAGTTTGCAAAAAATCGATGAGCCGATATCGACCGATGACGAAATGTAATCTATCAGACCAGTTCGGCTCCTAAGGCTAGGTTCATACTAATTCCCACCTTCCGGAACTGTTCCCGCACATCCTTTTTTTGATCAGCAGAACTTCGATCTCGAAGAGGGGTTGAAGAATGAGCGCTTTTCGCCATGAATTAGGGAGTAGGAGCAATTCTGAAGTTGCATAAATTGGGACTTTTCTCTTGTTTTCTGATGAGTTTCCTTTTTGGCCTCCCAGCCCCTTTCCTTGTGATGAGAAAAGGTGTGAAATTAAAGCGAGTTAAAGAAATAACCTTGTTCTGTTCCATATTCGGGCAGATTGCTCTTTTTGCGCTTGTCCATTTTCTTCCATTTTTGCCCAGGCCTGCTTCATATGTTCTAGAAGGCGCTGTGTAGTCTCGCATCTGTATTGAAAGGGACATGGACAGGTCTCTAGAACACATGAAGAAGGCCTGAACAAAAATGGCAGAGGAGATGGAGGAGCGCAAGAAGGTTCATCTTCCCGAATACACGATGGGAACCGCGTCCAATCCTCAACTCCGCTTCAAGTTCACAGCTTTTCCCATCACAAGGAGAAGCGGGATATAAGAAAGAAAGGAGAAACAACGATATGGAAAAAGGAAAGGGCGGAGAATGCCCAAAAACGAAACTCAACAAAACAAGAGACAAGTCTCAATTCATGCAATTTCGGAATTGCTCCTACTCCCTAATTCATAGCAGATGGCTATGGAAACTGCGCAGGGGCTTCCTGGAACAAATGGAATGAGTCTGTGTAAAAATAAAGCGAAGAGAAAATGGACGAGCGCAAGAACACACATTTTGTCTCATACGCAGAACAGAAAAGCGCTCATTCTTCAACCCCTCTTCGAGATCGAAGTTCTGCTGATCAAAAAAAAGGAGCGGGGTAGAGGAATAAGGCCAAAATGAGAGAAATTTGGAAGAAATACCGTTGAAAACGGTCAAAATTCTCCAACTCCCGCCGTTCAAAACGCGTGTGGGGCGGTTGCAGCGCATGCAGCACAGTTGCAGTTCCCGCACAATTCTCAGCACAGCGCGCGAACATTGCGGGACTGTGCGGGAACAGTTCCGGAACGTGGGAATTAGTATGAACCTAGCCTTAGGAGCCGAACTGGTCTGATAGATTACATTTCGTCATCGGTCGATATCGGCTCATCGATTTTTTGCAAACTTTGAGTTACAGGTGTAAGAGTTGGCACAAGGGGTAAGCAGCAGTATGCGGCATAAATTAGCAATTAACATGTGTATATATAAACATAGCATCTGCAATCAGAGTCATCTGTCACCATTCGCGGCGATATTTGGCCAAAATGTGCGATCTTAAAATTTCGAACGATTTTCATGCGGACGTGAGTTCGTCAGCTCACAGTTCGGCGACCAATATAGGTAAAGGCCTAGTTTAAGCATGCTCTAAGAGCACTGCCTCTAGTGATTTCAAATTACAAAAAGGAGCAGGTAAGTTGTCCAACAGACACGCGCAAAGGGCAGACAAACTTAGGAACTTGCGTAGTATCGCAGCATTCCTCTCAGCATAACTCTGCCAAAAGAACTTATGCTGCACAGAGGGCACTATTTCTGTAATCAGCGAGTCCGAAAACCTCTATGGGCAAAGTTTCCGGTCAATCCAAGATCATCAATATTTTAGCCAAAACCCGTCGGCGAGCTTCACAGCTTAGAACGAGAAAAAATAAAAGGTTCTGAATTCCTTGGAAAACTTGCGCATAGAGGTTATCTAACCTGCTGATCACGAAAAACACACCTGATTTGCAAATTAGCGTCCTACTGTAGGGTTACGGTAGCGAAAATTTGAGAGACATCGATTTGTTCAAATTAAACGGCCTATCTTTCCCTATGGAAAGGGAATCCTTCGCTATTCACTAATACGTGATAATCTACGGGGACAGCACTACTGACTCATGTTTATTTGAATCGTCCATGTGTGTTCTTCGCTGAGTTACACCACTACGAATACCCGTCCTCAGACAAAAATCGAGCAGATTGAAAACAGAATGGTACGAGAGTGCAATATATCGGAAGATTCATCTTGACGAGCTGAGCATCAGGCTTTCTTCGGATTTGTATTTTATGCAATTTGAAGGAAGTTATGAAGAAAAAACGAAAAAAACGCGGATCGTCAGTTTTTGCGTTTTCTGTCGAATAATTAGTGTGTGTACTGTACAGCTAGCAAATTCGACTGTATGAATAATATACGCGTTTTACTGCAGTGCTTTTCTGTCTTCAGTAAAAGAAAGTTTTTTGCTCAGCGAAACACTATTTTTTTCTGTTCTGATGTTGTTTCGCTTTTCGCGACCGCACGTTTTCAACGACCACATCGGTGGAAACACAAAGCTTATTTGAAATCAATTTACGCATAAAAGAAACCAAAATTCTGTTTATGGTGATTGTTGAACGGAGTTGGAGTGCTGATGCAGATCAAAAAATTAAATCTGACCTTTTTGTTTATTGATCTATAGCTTTTACTCGATAAATATGCTTAAACTGCGGGTCTCATCTAACCAAAGATAATAGTAAAAGCTATTTTTCCACCTTATTTCAGGAGCTTGTCTATGCAAAACTGGCCGAATTGCAAGGGTGACTGCATATAATAGATCTTTCGTCTAGAGCTCATAACTTGGATTTTTATCCTTTTCACCAAATTGATTTTGTTTCGCACAATTATCTCGTTTTTTTTCTTTCACTTAAGCCCTACGAGTTGTCAACACTAACGATAAATTGGTTTGAAAAGATTTTACTGATAGATATAATGAAACATCTCATAACGGAAAGAATAGGTATTCAATTACCATAATTACCGTACCTTGGGGAAATCGACCAATCATAGGTGAGCAGCTTTGAAACAGCTGCAATCGAGACATTGCATACGGTATCCATATAGAAGAGCGCATATGGTCACCAGACGCCGCCTACCCGGACAACTGGTCTTCCAGCGGCATTCATTAACATATGCGACAGGGTCACTTCCGCGGAGGCGGAGCTTGCGGAAAAACCGTTCTATCATTTCGAAAAGACATAGAGGCAAAACATAAACAATTCCGGCTAGAAATGGCAAGAAACTTCCAAATGTAAACATGAAATAAAGACACAACAATGTGCTGTAAAATCTCCATAACGTGAAGTGCTAGTGCAAATTGCAAAAGAAAAAGGCACCATAAAGTATCACAAAAAAGAATAAAGTGAAAAATTCGAAACTTTGAAACAAAACTGGCAGCAAAAGGATAGACTTACAGAAATATCACAACCAGAAAATTGGCAAAAAGCAAATCATTCGTGTAATGAATACATATGGACTCAGAGCTTGTAAAATTGTCAGAATTTCATGCATATAGAGAAAGAAACCCAGAGAATAAGCTTTTCTATAATATTTGTTTATTCTGACTTCTTTTTAGCGGCTCTCTTAAGTTTTTTCGGTGATTTAGGAGGCCTTCGATCGATATATGCGCCTAACATCCAACCAACAACGGGGCAAACCTAAATATCAGAAATTAACAGAATAAAAAATGACTGGGAAAAAATTCCATAAAAAAGGAATGAAATGCGGCGTACCCAGTATAAGAGAATAAACCATTGAGCACTAAGACCATTACATCCAAAAAATAATGATGAAGCGACAATCGGATCCAGTCCCGAGTCGCCGATAAAGAGTATTGCTGAAAGTTTAAGAATTTAAACGCTGCACTTCATTTCAGTATCCTAGCAAATTTCTCTAATGTCAGTCCAAATAAATCTCTTCAGGGATTGTGAAGTAGGTCAATTCAAAAAACTTTTAAAGTCCAAATGTTCTAGGCTACAGGAACACCACAACGCTACTCTCAGTCTAATAAAAAGTTATAAAAGCTTTCTTTAATTGCAAATCAAAACATTAGCGGCTTAAACTTTCACGACTCTTTCTGCCTCTCTCCCCCTCTCCCTCCCTCCCCTCGACTCTATTAGTACCCTAAAATCCCATAGATAAGAGCGGTTTAATTTACCGGTGAAAAATGAATTGGAATGAATTGAAATTGAATGCAGTCACCCCTCTAACTTGATGGATGGATAAATAAAAATCGGAGAAGAAGTTTAGAAGAAGCTCCGCCCCTCAACTCTAAACTCCGCCCACTTAATAAATAATTCATATAGAAATTCCGAAATTCCGTTAAAATCGCTATTCTATATGAATTGTTTACTAAGTGGGCGGGGTTTAGAGTTGAGGGGCGGAGCTTCTTCTGAACTTCTTCTCCGATTTTTATTTATACATCCAAGTTAGAGGGGTGACTGCATTCAATTTCAATTCATTCCAATTCATTTTTCACCGGTAAATTAAACCGCTCTTATCTATGGGATTTTAGGGTAATATTTAAATAAAAAACCGACTGGCGAAAATAGGATGTTTTTATGTAAAATGTTTCGAAGAAAAAGTGACGCTTTAGAAGTCGTGCGAAGCTTCCGAAAAGCCAAAGCTCTGCATCCTAACTGCAAAGATATGTGTATCGTTAGCTTGATTGGTCTTATTATTAGTACTGTTTCCGACAAACTCCTGGATAAGGGCGTCTTCAACTCATTATTTAGATGTTTTATGCAAAAAATAAAGGATAACATTTTTTGAGAATTGACAAACAAAAATCATGAAATTATGCAAAAAAAAACTAAAAGTATACAAGAATAAAGGTTTTAGTTCCCAAAAAGTATTAAACTGACTTACCAAAGGAAAATAAACTGGCTGTAAATGCTGGTGCCAGATATTTCTGAGTGTCCGCTGGTAATCGAGATATAACAGATCGCATAGCAAAACAACCACCAATTTCATAGGCTAGTACGATGAGAAAATCTCTCTACAAAAAAATTCTGATAACCTTTAACATAAACCATTTAAACTTCAAAAATTGTATAATGCACACCTGATGTACTATAGAGCACATATTTTGACTATTTACAAACATTTCCATATGTGCTTGAGAATACTGTAACGAGTGGAACCATAACGTTCTGGCTATGTGCCAAGCCATAGCTCCGCCCATTATCTCTGCTAATAGGTAGAGAAGAAATCGTGAAAGCCTGTAACATCCTGATTGGTCCATGTATTTTTTGTCCAATGAGGGCCTTACCTAATTTCTCGATAATATAACATTTCAATAGGAGTAAGTGGTGTATTGTAGCTGCCACGACCCGTTGAACTATAGAAAAATCCAAGTATCGTAGTGGCGATAAAATATGACGATACTCCGTAATGTTGTACAATCAGGGCTGTAAAGGAAAGTTGTAGTCAAATAATTTTTGAAAAATTTCGAGGAGGATCTTTTGAACTAAAACTTCGAAATAATCACGGATTTCTTTGTATAAAAAATTGAAATATTCTTTGAATTGATGCATAAAATCTCTTAGTGAGATTCCATTTTTCAACATCGAATTGTCCAATTTTTGATTTTTTTGGCAGAAAAATCCATCAGTTGATTTGACCTACCATTTTCAAAGACGCACGTGCATATTTGTGCTGTCCCAATAAGTTCTATAAGAAAGCGATGAAATGAAGTTTTCTTTGACATAGTTTTATCTAGTATTCTCCTTGACAATTCTGCTGTACCCAGTACAGCGCCGTAGTAACAGACGGCTGCCGCTAGAGGGCCAGCCGACATTATGTCGGGCATCCTGAAAAATTTAAATAAAATGTTGGTAAAAAAATTTAAGCTAAATAAAGACGGCGGTATTATCAAAAACGATAATGAATGAGGTGCCAGAATATGTAAAAAAAAACAATTCTGATGTAGATGACGGTGTTATAATCATAAACTTGTAATTGAATCAAGAACCTTGAGTTTTAGCGCAAAACATGTCAAAAAGTTTATTTTTTTACAATTCCAACTCTCCCCCTTGTCAATGTTATCAGCATAGCAATTTGGGAATGCAGACAGAATTTTGATTATGCTTTCTTTTCGCCAAAGTGGTCTTTCTATTCAAGCGGGGCAAGAAACGTCTCAAAAAAGTCCAAATATTAAACTCGAGCTGTCGAGTTCACAAAGGAAAACTAGTAAACAAGAAAAGCACCAATGAAAAAATCGAGAACGTTCCGGAACACTAATTTTGAGTATCATCATGAGAGATCTCGCAAAATCAGTGCTCCAAGTATAGGTTGCTCGGAACTTTTGCCTGCTAGTTTACAGCAGGGCAGTAGCCGACGAACTGCTCAAAAATCATGGTTGCTTGGGCCTTTACGGCTTTTACAGTGTGAACAGAGCAAAAAACTACAGAAAAACGGACACGCACAAATTGTTTGATTCTAGACGCTCTCAACGCCCCGCTAAGATTCTGGCCAATCACAATCAAGGCATCCACCAATCAGAGAAGCGCGATTGCGATGAGTATAAATTGCTGTTTTTTAACATTCCTTTAGACATTCAAAAGGGGAGAACTGGCTCTACCCAGGAAACATCGTCGCAGTAAACACCTATCATATCTTGACAAGTAGGTAAATTTTCAAAATTTTCTTCAAAATTTTGAAGCTTGAAATCCATGTCTAGTGAGTCAGCTTGTTTCGAATATAGTTGTCTTCTAGCACTGTAAAGCTATTCAAATATTCTAAGAAACTTGCATGCCGTACATTCACTATAGCTTTTTGGATAACTTTTCGTTATGTGGGTCTTATATTAATCAGCAGAGATCTGCTACGGTCAATAATAAAAGTGTTCTTAAGACATTGACGACAATGCGCATGGTGGGTCATAGCTCAAATTTCATTAAAATTTCCTCTAGTCTAGAAAAATTCAGTTTAGGAGATTTTTTTACGCGCTGGATTTAGAATTGATTTCCGTGTCTCTCGACAAACTCTCACTGCTACGGTAGGTATACTGTAAACTAAAGCCTGCGTAATTTTAGCTAAAAAAAATTCTTGACTTGCTCGTAAAAGGCTCTCACGAGGCGGACAAGTAGAAATGCACGTCGTCGTTACTGTGTTGGATTTAAAAATTAGGAAGTAATTTGACGAAACAACACAAAAATGCGCCAAAGATGGTACACTAATCCTATAATAATGGTGCAAAATTACGAAAACTGTCAATGTCGTAGAATTAAAACTTTGCAAATGCAAGTTACATGTTTGAAACTTTGATTACACTATCTTATTCAAAAAAAGAAGATTTAAAAGTGTCGGAGTAGTAAGAGATATACATAAAGGTTCTCATCGTATAATCTACAAGATTCTAAAGACTCCCAGTAGGATAGTTGTAGGTCCAATCTCAAGCCAAGCTCGAAAACAAAGAGCTGAAAGTAGCAAGTGAAGGAAAAAAATCGCGCAAGAACTCAATGGCATTTTTCAATGTGCAAATTTTCAAACAGAAAAAGACGAACCATATTTGTCAATCTCAAGGAAAACCAACGTCTTTATGTGAATGTAGAAATATCAATAAATGGGATTGCATTAAATCGTTATGTCTCTAAAACAGACAAAATGTATGCAGCATCATCTTTTCAGACGCTTTTGATAGGAGGATTTTGCGTGCGAAAAAAGTTGCAATACTCTGAACATCGAATCTCATGCATCGTCAGCATTGTTTGATTTCTGTTTTTTATTTGAAGCATTTCAGATAAGATTATGGTTTCTTCCGCAATTCTTCGAGAAAAAGTTCGTTCCTTCTCTGTCGCTCAAAAATATGTAATATAAGAAAGATTGAACTTAGAGCATTCAATACTATGTAAACCAGAATCGAGTAATGATGTGTGTCAAAATTATATTAAGTGGATCCGAATAATTGTGCCGTTTTTTAGACGTACCCTCAAATCATTCAGAATAACGTAGACAAACATTCCAAGCACTTATGTATGCAGGAATTTCTCTTTTTAGCAATGACTTCTGTTTGAATTCCTCCAGTGTTCTTCCGAGCAATCCCTGCAATCTCCAACCCATGCGTTGTAATTACCCTAACGGTTAATTTGGTTATTTTTTTAAAATTTCGTTTTGGACTTTTGAAAAAGCTTTTACCAAAGTTGGATAGAGTAAACAAAATGCCACAAAGTCGAACTTTTTCGCATCGATAGCTGACTTTTCAGTATTTTTGAAACAGGTTTTCCAAAAATCTTCACATTTGCAAAGTCGTGAAATATACAAACACTTCAAACGCTATGAAATCTTCGCAAAATGGAACTTAAAAAAATCGAATTGCTATAAAGGCACTTCCAAAAGTCCAGAACATAAGTTAAAAAAATAGCGAAATTTAGGGCAGGTAAATATAGATTGAAGATTATGACCATTTTTCAACCGAACATCAGAAGAGCCTTAGCAAAAACATAACTACTGGAAAGGGAAAGAAATTCTGCATGAAGCACTCCTTTTAGTGATTGTCTATTTTTATTCTGAATGATTCAAGTATAGCTCTAAAAAACGGCACGAAGTTTTGAGCACACCTGGTAGTATGTGCAATCTATGACAAGGACAGTAACCAACTTTTGCAAAGATAATTTTAGTTTGGCTAATAAATAACTCCATTTGCTTTGCTGGCCCGTAAAAAAAGCTGCGGACGATCTTTTTGAACCTTTTTGACTTTGGAAAAAGCATTCAGAATAATCAGAATGTGTACTTTACTTGAGTGGAAATGGTTTTCCAATGAAGAGTAGGCGAGGAGAATTGGGATATCCCAATTTTGTTGCGCGCCCGACTGTGAAAGAATTTCGTACTTTTGTCTATATTTGTGATATATAATTATTAGTTAACTTAATAATAGCTAAAATACATTTCTATATCAAGCGAATCCAAAGCACGCGACTGAAGACTGATTGTGAGGAGAATTGAAAGCTACGTCGAGACTGGCATTATATATAATCTAAAAGTTGCCAATCTAAACAAGAGGGCTAAGATGAATTGCAGTTAATGTTACATATGATAGACGTACAAACTTTCACTTTTCCTTGTATCACCCATTAGTGTTCGTGAAAACATCATCGTAGAGATTGAAGCAGAAACTCGTTAAGGTTATTTGACAAAAACACACATAAAATTCAACGAAAGTTTAATGAGATGATGAGCTTTGTATCGTAAGTTAAAGCACGGGACGAGTTCTCCAAGAAGCCTAGAGCGAAAGCATTATGTTTAGAATGAGTGATTAGTGATTAAATCACATAATGAGATTGCCGACCGGAATGATTGTAAAGTAGAGAGAATGACATGAGTAAGTGAAAGATAAAAGTTTAAACATCTTGGAAAAACATGCGCGTGTAATGAGATATTTCAAGTTGCGGAAGAGAGGCATGAAATATGGATTATAGACAAATGATTGATCAAATGTATATGAAAACATTAGACCTGCAGACTCAACAGTTTGGCGAGTTCTGGTCACTCAACCTTTCGAGTAGATGGTAAAGTAACAAGAACAAGAGTATCCTCTACCATGAATCACAATAGCAGTCTCGGATTTTTTTTAGGAGAGGGAGAATAGAAACTTTTGATTAGCAGTACGCCTTTCAGCATTCTTTTTGATTTTTGAATCTGAGAAAAATGGAGCTGAAAGATAAATTCAAAAAAGAGCTAAAACCTTTTTTGAGAGGGTTAAGCAAGATCTTGAATAAGAGACCTGATATAATTTTTCGGAAAAATTTGGAATTGTTTCCTTATACATAAATGAAACCTCAATTGCACCACTTTATAACTCATGCAGACCACTTCGAAGAGCCCCCCCCCCCCCGCCCCACTGCCAGCCCACTTTCTTCTTCGGTCCACCATTGTCTGCTCAAGATCAGCTGATCATATGTCCGCCTCCTTCGCTGAATTCAAAATGTATTTCTTCCCAACTGGATAGCATAATGTAAGAATGTATTTTTATTCATAAAAAGTTTCCGCTCTATTCTGAACTTTTGCATAAGCTGGTCTAAACAGTGAATTATACGGCATTCTTAAGAATTCATTGCAAAAATGTTAAATTGTCCAATAAGTCTTTTCATATTCGTACTTTCACACTGATTTTTTCTTAAAAACTAAGGCATCTACAAGAATGCAGATTTGTGGGAGTTTTCTTGAGTGAATAAGCTATATAATCACATCTCAGACAATTGCATCGGAAAGTTCGCGGCCTCAAAGCGTGTTACATGGCGCGCCGCGGCCCTTAAAATTTCAACCGCACACGCCGCGGCCCATGTATTTTACCGCGAACGCCGCGGCCAAAGTTGAAATCGGGAAGAGATTACCGGGAAAGTCGCGGCCCAACCACCTCACTCGGCGGGCCGCGGGCCCTATCAAAGGCCGCACTTCTTACACGCTGTAGTTTAAGGCGCAACCCTCGTGAGGTACGTCGCACCGCTGGGGCTACCCTAAGTGTTTAGCAGGCTGGGTATCGCTTCTCGGATTTGGTCCTATCTGACAGAGTTGATTCTTATGTTGATGAAATAAACTTCAGAAGTCGGATGAGTAATATCGACGACATTAGATGATTTCGACAGATGAGCTAACAAGATGCTCAATTTGTGCTCAAGTCGTTGTCATGAAAGACACGCCAAAAGATTTTTCACTCTTCCTAGGCCTCACAAGCATGCTAATCGGGTCAACTATCGGGCGCTTACAGGGTGCGCCGCGGTCACTTATCGGGTCCAATTTCGGTTTATACCGGGCAGCTCGCGGCATGGATGATTGGTGGTCGAGCAAGCACCCGCGAACTTCCCGATGCGATTGTCTGA